AATTTAAAAATTTAAATGTTAAACAATTGAGGATAATTAGCAATAACTAAGATGTAATTTTTGGAATTTTATAGTTAATACTACAGAAGTTATCCATAAAATAAAAAGTAAAATTGTAATAAAACGGTACAAATTTATCAAAGTTACCCCATTTTACTGTAATATAAACTGTACGCATGTATACTCCAGTCATTAGTGCCTATATTTTAAAGGTGAATTTTTATGATTTTTTCGGACGCTACAAACAACTGTCTGATATTATTTCATCAACATTCACCGAAACTGCAGAAATACTTTTTATGTCTTCATAAATGTTATTAAATGTAAATTAGACTTTTGCAGCGACCTTCATACAAATTACAATTTTAATACATGGTTACGTAATTGGTACGTTCACAGTACACTGAAATAATGTCTATGTAGGTACCTATGTTGTAAAACACAATAAACAACCAAGTACAAAACCAAATTCAACATATTATTATAACATCTATATTATTATGTTAATGCTCACCGAAAATTAACTTCACGTAGACAGATTACAAAACCGTCATTATTATATTGTTATAATGTCAACTGCAGCGAGCAGTTAGGTTAGTTTTAACTCGTTTATGATAATATAAATTGTAATTGCCTTTTAATCCAAACGCACTAATTTATATCCTCGCGGTAATCGAGATATTACAGTGAATACATGTTGCAAAATGGTCAAATAACTAATAAATAATATAACATATTTCCTATAGGTACTTATTATACTATTATGGTGCAATTAGTCTCATTTATCATATTTACAGCACGTATTTGAAATTAACATTATCTACCATGTATTATGTTCAGTTATACAAAATATGAAAAGGCAGGTAAGTGGATGTCGATTTGCTCTACTGAATTATATTACTAAGTATGTTTAACGATATTATTGTGAATAAAGTAATTTATATATAACCTATTTTACGTGCAACCCTGTTATAATTTTCAATCCTTAGCTAAAAAAAGTTGAACACTTTATAAATTTTTAACTACAAAATCATTTTTTAATTTTAAATTTGTTAAATGTTGTAAAAATCGAACTTTAAATGATAATAAAAAAAATTTTGCCTATGTATTTTTAATATTTTTCAACGACTATTTTAACAGTATACCAGGTGCCTTGTATTAAATTGTTTAACTCTTTGACCCAACAAATACAATTTTATAAAAAGAAAGCTAAACAAATTAAACAGAAAATGTACGTAAACATCTCAAAATATTTTGAAAATTTTATGGTGTATAGAAAATTCTAATATAAACAATAAAAATGTCATGATTTAACGGTAATTTGTTTTAGAGTTACTTCAAAAACTCAAATCGGTTTTGTTGAAAACAAATATTGAGTAAAAATTCTAGTTTTTCCTAATTTTTTTTTCCCGGCGCTTTTGAAAACTACTGGGAATTTTGACACTTTCCCATCGAACAAGATACTGAAGTTAAAAAAACGAAGCATTATTTCGACTTATTATTGTGTATACAGACACAAAAAAAACACACACATATCATTGTAAAATTAATACATTCATCTCTCCTCTCAGAATCTAAAACGGCTAATGAGTAGTTGTAATCAAACTAAAATAAATTCAAGAATTAAAAATTATTCTTAATGGGAAAAGGGACAGGACATGTTTATAATTTAAAACTTCGGGGAGTTAATAGTTTAATACCTTTTTCGCATTCGAGTACCCACGGTCATACGCTCGTGTATAAACTCTGCAGAATGTGAGGTACATATTTCTGATGGAAATTTATTAACTACAAACAGATATATCAGTTAGGTAATCAGGAAATCCATTTACGTTTTCATCAAAATATACTATTGACTATTAACTCTGATTAATAAATATGTTCACGAATTCTTCCTATTAGTTATTAGTTATTACATATAATCAATTTTATTATACGTATTGATAATATATATCATACAGTAATGTACTTTGGGGGGAGAGTTGTACTGATAATTTTTTATATAACAGAGAGTCACCTTAACTGGATCCCTCATAAGTTTGGTATGCTGATGCCGTAGATATATAACACTTTTGCAAATAACTTCATAGATATTATAATTTTAATTCGTGGTTACTTACGTTTTACGGTTATGCGTCTTAAGAGTTCACAAAACACTAAAACTATTTTGAAATTTTTTTGAAATTTCGGGGCTACTGATATTATAATTATTGTTATAGTTTCAAATTATTATATAATATGATACAAATGCATAATATATTTAATGGGCTATGGCAAGTACATAATATAATAAAATATTATTCTCATGCATCTAATAATTTAATTTTAATTTTTAGGAATCTTTTTACTGATAATTTACTAATACCTACTATGATTTTTATTATTTATAACGCATAATGCACAATATTGTGGGTAGTGTACACTGTTCATGCACATTGCATATGCAAATATGTAATTTAAGTTTTATCTAGGTATATCATGGTATTGTATAATTTAAGGTTTATGTACCTAACTAATTCATCTAAATATTTTGTATAATAAAAGTAAAAAAAAAAAAAATAAGTTAAATGTTGTATCCTGAATAATTATATTATAGTTAATTCTTATTAAAATGATATAATTTATATTATAGTATTATACCATTACGACATTAACTATATACTTAATTCCAACGTTACCTGCACAACTGTTGGCTCATGTGTAAAAATATATAGTCTAAGTAGGATTTGTAGTTGGCAATGTCATATAATATTATATTATACTACGTCGATATAATTGAAGAATGTTGCAATACTAAATTCGTTCATCTTGGTAATAAAAGTACAAGATAAGTAAAAGATAATAAACAATACGATATACATTATACTTAGTGGTTCAGAATGTTACAGAAATTTTAACTGATATGAGCATAGTAGTTTGACGTGTTTTATACAGCTTTTTTAAACACATTATCGTCTTGAAATTTGTGCGTATTTGACATAAAAACTACAAGTAATAGATATAACAATATTGTGATACATACAACAATGAACTACATGCTTGCCTACAAATGTACCATGATTTTATAAATCCAATAAAGTATTCTTAAATTGTTACGATATTTACATTACAACGATACCACAAGCATCGTGTACGTGTAAACATACTTCATACAATGTAAGTACTTTTTAATTAATTTTAATATTTAATTTTGACTTGTTTATTGTAAAAAGCAGTTATTTATTATTAAACTTGGCAATGTTTAAACTATTTATCATATAATATTGTCTTTATATTGTAGACTGTAGTGATATATTTTTTATATAATAAACGTTCATCAATCATATTCGTAGGTATATAATATAATATTTGAGGAAATGATTTTTTAGATTAGGACGAATATTACAATATTTAATAATGCTCTTTGAGATAATTTTTACAATTAAAGATATTCATAGTATTTACCAAAAACAACTTGTGTGTTATACAAAAGATAAAATACTAATAAATTAAAAAAAAATTGTTTGCGTTAAAAATTAAATAAGTTAAACTGATAAAGTGATAGGTACCGTAAATTAATTTTTAAAAATTATCCAAAGCAATAATTTAAAACGATTTAAGTATATAAGAAAACTATATTACGTTCCTACCTATTGCTCAAAATCTATCAAATTTAATATAAAATATTGTACAACGCGTATTTACAAATAGTAATAATTACCAAATGGAACATTTTAATGTTTCTTGAAATTTTTGTTGTTTTTTTTTAATCAACAATATTTTTATATATTATTTAATAGAAAATATCAATTTTCCCACAATAGAGAAAAATAAAGCGAGCGAGAGTGACAGACAGAGAGAGATGGAAACAATTTATAATATCAATAATATATGTAGGTAATGATTACCTAATGAATTAACTACGATTTCGTTAGTTTAGAAATCTGTGTTGGTTTTGATCGATCTAGGTAGGTATAATATACTAAATTAATTTTATAATTATTGTTCTCGGTAAAATGATTTTTCGCTCTTACCTTCTTTCGGGCGCAACAGAGCATTGCAGCAGACGATCGTTTGTTCGTAGATGCTACTCTAGTCGTTACCATTTTGCCATAATGCCACCTAGGAATTCAGGCACCCAGAGAACCCGGTCTTCCGAACACGATACACGACATGTCCCTTTCGAAAGAAGTGCGCTTCTATCGGTCTGTATGTTATCACTTTGCACGTAATGCGCGTGATGTATATACCTGCATACACGTACCTATATAATATTTATCGTGCAAAAATATCCTCCGTCGAACCCTGATAAAAACACGCGTGTTGTGTTTACAGCGCCGAGAACACAATAATTATGGTCATCGTGGCATACTGACTAATCTGGAGTGAAAAGCGCTGGCGCGCGCCGGATGGGTCGATCGATAACCGTACAAAACCGCTTGGCACCCTCCGTGGGTTAGTTTCGAGGGGGTGAGAATATAATAAAATGAAAATACCAGTCATCAGTCGCAGTGTACTCTACATATAATAAAATATGTATACAAAAATACAATGGATTTATATAATAATGTATAGCGAAGCCAATACCCACGAATTTCCCACGTGGGTTATATAATATATACGACTAAGATAGGTATTTTTAATATTTATACATACCGTATCATATTATATATTTCTATCTTCTCAGTATCGTAAAATACCTAACTAACTATACATATAATACTTAGGTTTTATGGCTCACTGCATAATTTCGTTTTACAGTCCACATTAAAAATTGCATCGTTTAACAAGAAAACAAAAACCAGTATAATAAACTTGTATAATATTATATATATAATATATAATAAAGTATCTATATAAAAAAAAATTTGTTTTTAAATTAGAATTAGTTCATAACCATAGTATACATTGTTTAGTATTATAATATATATATGTAATAATTTCAGTCGTTCGTTAAGTAGATATATTCAATAAATAAAAAAAAAAAAATAAAAAAAATTGACTGTTCTCAGTCATTTTGTCTAACAAGCATCAAATAATGAAAGTGAATACGTTTGGGCGTATATCGTTGTTCCGTCCACATGGATTAAATTCGAATTCTCTGTACAATTAGACCATCTAAAAAACAAAATATTTTCTAATTTTCATGATGTGAACAATTATCATTCTTAGCACTTACAGAAATTATATACATAGGTACTTACACGTTTCCTTCCGTGTCAAAAATGGATATTTTGTCCACGACCACATTTACAATACTGTTGAGCCCATGCTTTTCGTTTTCAGTTTGATAAGCTAATGATTGGAAACTCAATTCGACATTTAAATATCTTTGCACAGATTTTTCATATCTAGCTACTGAAAGTCCTTCAGCTAGAAGTCCGCCAGAAATATAATCCGTATGCCTGGAAAAATTAATTCAATTTAGGTATAAATAAAGCGCTGGTGTCAATAACTGCGTCATTGGTTAATTTCTTAACACAAATCGTCATGATAATACCAAAAGTAAATATATCAATAATTATTACTTTGTTCGGAGCTTAAAGTTTGCCGTGTTTTCACCATCTTCTAACGATATTTGCAAGTAACCTCGAAGCTTAGATGTTTTTGGAGATAGTAAAACGGATGCCTTGAGCTGTCTCCCTATAGAATGAAATATGTAATATAAACAATTTAGTATCAATACAAAATCCAAAATCAACGATCAACATCCCATACCACAAAATGGACTTGAATCTCTAGTTGTGAAATACAGTGGACCACGGAGTTTCGATTGAGATTCCGCAAAACCCATGGTTACACAATTTGAATCTACGAAAAAGTTATTCGAAATGTTTATGAAACAATTATAAATAGTAACACAAACATTTATATGATATGCTACTTTTGGTTAGTAGGGTATTAATATATTATTGTATCACTTTTTTTAATATTTATTATTTTGTATTTGTCAGTTGATACTTGATAGTTACGTATCTTTAAATCAATATTCCCTTTGCCACGTACTAAATAAATTAAACAATATGAAACGTAGTGTCGAGTACACCGAACTGAGAAAAGGAAATCGCATTCAGACTTAACACCACGCGTGAGTAAAATAATAATATAGAACCAGCTATCATTATAAATTTTATATAATATAATAATATAATTAATAGTGTTAATACAAATCTCAATTTCGTGAAAGTAAAGGACTATTCATAGTTTATTGTATTACCAATATTTCATCGTAAAGGGCCTAGTTCTTTTTTGTAAAAAGATGAATAATTTTCAAAATTACCAACGAGCGCGTTATTATGATACAAATAATATACCTATAATATCGCTGTCAGGTATAAGTTTAAATGTAGTAGCGCTATGTGCGAATTCTGAAGATATAATGCAATAATGCATATTATACTATATTAATTGTGATAATAGGTAATATACAATACATAAATACATTGTAATTTAGAATAAGTTAAGTACCTGTGCAATTTGTTGGGAAGCATTCGCCCCTTTGAAACATTGACCATCCGGCTGGGCACGGAAATGTGGTAAACTGACATGCGTCAGGATCTGACACAGCTTTGAGACTTTCCAGGAAGAACTGTAACGCCCGGAGATGATTACATACCACGCTTGAATTCATCGTTCCCTCTATATGTATACATTAACATAACATTTAAACAGTAAACAATTTTGAAGGATAGCCTGGAAACCCTTTGTCACTTTACTCTTATTATCAAACAGTTTAAAATATACTTATATAAACAAAAAAAAACCATTGTTTCAATATTCAATAGATAATTTTTAATACGTATAAATAAATAAGTCAAAATATTCATAAAAATAATCCGATTTAGATTAAAAAATGTTTTTGAAAACTGCATCTCTGCATTCAAATAAAAAAAACATGCTTGCTTAAGATGCATCACGCATCAACCAGAATCGCGTTATTCGATCTATATAGTTTATATAATATGTAAATTGTACCTATATAAGACTTACTTATAATAACTCATATAAGACTTACCGAACCGGCTTACGATTACCGAACCGCGGACTTGTTCACAACCTGGCTGGTCAAGACCGCCGTTCGGGAAGTAGTCGACGTCACCGATCGGGTTGAACAAGCCGAACCCCTCGGACCATATCCTGGCACCGTCTGTGTGTACTACATCGACGAATGCGGCGTCGTCTGAGCTCAGTGACAGCAGCGAGGCTGACAACATTTGTCTGAACAGCGGGGACGCGGGATCCAGACCTGCACCAGAAACGAAATATTATTCATCGTATAAATATGTATAATAAACGCATCGAATTGTCCGAAAGCTAATAAAATATATGAAAAATTTTAAAGAAGGAAAATTCGATACGTATCGACACGTATCGGTAGTCGTATCTGAGTCCGAATCCGATACGGGTCGGTATACGTTTCGCTGGTATATCTCTCGTCATGTAACTTCTTGAACGCTAGATATAATTAAACCCATACGTATCGATACACTTCAATTTATTCCTCAAAATCTCAATTTATTACCAACTAGGCGTATTCGAGACCCCAGGCATCACCTGTAATTCTGCCGACGCGTATATCGATCAGTTTCAACGCCTTGCCCGCGAAACCCGCCACGTGGGCACCGAGGCTGAACCCGATCATGTGAATCTTGGCAGGGTCACCGTTCAGCGCCACCATGTCCGTGATCAATATCGCCAGCTGACGTCCGATCAACTGCGTGTTGGCGGCCGCAAGCGCGTAGCCAGGCCCGGCTGCTCCTTTTTCCCAGTCCACGAAAATCACATTCGCGTCTTCCTGTATCAGTGCAACCGGTTTAGATGAAAAAAGGTAATAATTGTATTTAATCCAAATAAAAAAAATCACGGACCTATAACCCCACCGCGAATCTAGGTATATATATATATGGGTAGGTAGGTAGATATATAATAGTATGTCTACAGACTAACCAGGTCCAGGAGCGCGTTGCCTAGGAGTTTTGCCACCTTGTCGTGTCCGCTGCCTTTGAACCCGTGAATGATGATCTTGGTCGGCAGTTCGGGCTTGAAGTTAGAGTTGTTCATAGAAACGTGCCGGTCGCCGTACGTGACCAAAATCAGATCGCTGCGATTCTGTCGGGTCATCACCAAGAATTTCGTGTCCACCGTGTCCGGCGATTGAGGCGATTTCATGAGCGGCGAATAATTGGTCCGGGGTATAGGGAAGCATCCGACCATGTCTGCAGTGTTATTGTTGACGTATCGTTGTAAAAAAAAAAAACAACAAAAATAAAAATCCCGTCGGCGACTCTTGTAATATGTGATGCATATAGAGTACGACATTCGTAATATATGCGTTGCACGTATTGTCAGTCGTTCGTACGAGATGAATAATAATTCGGCGATGTTGCAGTTATTTTAAGCCGGCAAGTTAATAGTGCTTTTTCTCGTCACAAAAGTTTACGTGCAGTGCACGCTTGTAGTTATATATACGTATACTGGTGTTTCGCGACTGTTTCTTTTTCGCCAACGCCGTTGCTCAAGTCTCACATTTTTGTCGTTTTAGTAAAAAATGATTGTCGGTCCTTGTGTTACGATGTCAGACGTAAGTTGGTGTATTATTAAAATTTACGTCAGTCACAGTTAAGGTATATATTATACATATAAATTACAAAATATATGCGTAGATATATTATGAATTATGATGTACCTATCGTATATGGTTAGCTAAACCAGACTTTAAAATTTTATTTACAATGTTCAAGTTCATCTTACCATAACAAATTTGTTTTGAACTCCTCGACTTTTTTCTCTCTTGTCTTCTAGACAAATGGTCTCTGACCAATTGCATCGCACGCTTACCCAATATATTTGACGGCCAAAAATCATAATTAGAAACTATTTAACACGTTTAATTAAAAAAAAAAAAAATGAAAATTCAATCGACACAAGAATTAAAAAACAAAAAATCAATGGACGTGTTTTGGCGTTTACCTTCAGACGCTGCTTTAATTAGACCCACATGGTCTAAAACCAAATACGCTGCGATGGATATGGTGAAAATAGTTCGGCCATAATGTTTAGTATGCATGTTATGATTTTATAATAATAATTATTAAGTTCGATGTTCTCAAGAAGCAGATCTCACATGACTGTTTAAAAAATCAACACTGATAAAACTATAACGTTAAAAGACAAGAGTTCACTGGATTATATAACACTTTAGTGTCAAGTGTGTTAACCATTATATTATTATTGCTCCTTGTTATTATATATATGTTTTTTATTTCACTTTCACTCTGTTGAAGGTAAACTCTATAATATTATACTGAAGAGATAGGTAGGTAGGAAGGTAGGCTCCTACCTTTACAGTTACAAATAATTTACACGCTGACAGCTGGTTATGTACCGGATTATGATATTGCAGTAGGTATAGGTACATGCAAGCATGTATAAATTACACTAAGTCCATATTTTTTGATTTTCAAGTAGGTTTTATATAAAAAAAAAAATACTCATACTACTCTACAGGTAAAAAAATATCAATATATTGATATAATATCATAAATTCGTAACAATAGACCGTTAAAAAATATTATTTCTATATACTATACAGTATTCAGGTGTATACGCTTGACATTAACTCGGAAATATAGCAATTTTAATAACATGCAGTAGTTAAATTTGAACAAGTGTAAAATATTTTTATAAAATATATTATAGTTCGTTTGATATTTAAAAAAAAAGTAAGGTTATATTAAAAATACATTGGTTAAAATCATTGTTGAAACTTACAAATGTACAGCTATGATACTGTCTATAATATTATATTTAATAAATTTAAACGACAATAAGTATAGAGATTATATCTACCTAAATATTAAAAAAAACATTTGGCATTCGTGTAGCCTGTGGATCTACATTTTAACCGTAAATGTAGTTTGTGATCTATTAAATTGTATAAATATTTCATAATTATTAAACTGTTATCTTTACATTTATTTTGTAGTACCTACATGATGATACCTATTAATTCGATATCTTATCGTAGAATGGCGGAGACGAGGAGGCCAGTAAATAATAACAAATATATATTTATACAATTTTTAATATTGATAAAAAGTTTATTGAACTCGAATACCTACTATACCTAATAGAAATTTTATTTTTTTTCTTATTGCATTTTGATTTGACTATTTGACTAATTTGTTTAATCCTTTATAATTAATATTATATTTTATGTAGGTATTCAAATGGGGTGGATCAATTATAATACAATATAATACATTGGTATGAGATCAACTTCCCGTAGTAGATCACCTAATAGGTACACGAAATACGAATGCCAAACATTTAGTAAATCAAGATGGACTATGGAAGAAGTCAATAGAGTCATGGCTTTATTTTTTATAACTATTGACCTTTATGTATATAGAGTTATGCTTAATGATTAATGATTTAATATATCTCAATCGTCTTCTTCTTGCACGTATAGCTACGTATCAATAAACATAGAGGTTAGAATGTTAGATGTTTAGATTATAGTGATCGTATATAATTAACAAGTAACAACGACATTGACAATATTACTTCTTACTAATACTAAATGTATATAATGAATAATGATGTCAAAATTATTATATAGTTGCCACTTGCCAGCTGGTACTGTTATGCATTAAATTATCTGAATACGTGAAAATGGCAAAAATAAGTTAGGCTTATTTACTTCTCATTATTATTTATTGTAGTCCATAATATACCGTATAGAGCGTAAGAAGTATCCACTAACAAGTCATGTGTTAATCTCAATTTATAAGTTTCCTACATAAAATACACACACTAAATACCACACTAAATATTAATTAAAATATGCTAGTATACACTAATACGTAGTTAAATATTTAAATATCTACAATAGCTAATATATACTTATGTCTTGAATAGTTAATTTTAAATTGTTTTTCTTCTAAGCATAAAGGTCTTTAAATTCTTATAATATTAGTTATATTAATTTGTAAACATAAGTTTCAAAAACATTTTGTATAAGTTCTTATCAAAATATTATATTTAATAATATATATTATGTATGGGAGACGGAGTGGCCGAGCCGTCTAAGGTGTCGGTTGCGACGCTGCCGGCGCCGGTTCGATCCCGTGGTCACGGGCGGCATTTTTCTTCGGGCAAGTCACGGTGTCCGGAGAACAAATGCCGCCATCCCCCACCCGGGCATGGCAGATACCTACGGGTGCCCAAATCGAAAATTCGGCCAAAACCCACACACGTGTTAACAACCTACAGTTCCCCCCTACAGTACCACAGGTTAATGATCTTTGTTGCCGAAGCCTCAACCCTAATAAAAAAAATATATATATATTATGATATTATACTTTCTGATGTTAATCGTTGATCGTTTATTCAAAATATCCAGATTGTCATTTTAGATATTTATTTGATGAATGATTTAGTTTGTAGGTGATAATATAGGAGGCGTATCGATGCTTATATCAAGGCGTAGAATAGCCCTCTCAGAATAGTATAATTTATTATTTGTTATTCTTATGAACATAATAGTATTATGCAATTATATATACGTAATCTGTATATATTTTAATATTATAAAGAAGAAAACATTTTTGTTTGTTCGGGGTAATCTCTGTAACTACTTAACCGATGTCAAAAATATTTTTACCATCAGAAAGCTACACTACCCTATTGATCTATATTCTTTAGGCTATATATTTTTATCTCGATAAGTGTCCTTCATTTTTTTTTTACTTTAATATTTAGCTCACGAATAAATAATATATTTTTGTTTACTTTATGGTTGCTATTGGTTACAAAAAATAAAATAGTTATAATGCTTGAATAGAATTTTAGACCCTTATCTTTTGTTTGATCAGAACCATCAAAATTACTGTGATTAAGATGGGATAAATCGACGGATATTAATTATAGGGAAACCGTTTATTTCAATATATTATAATGGTGGATATAATTTAATACAATGTACTATAAAATTACAAAAACACCAGTCATTAACAGATTTAAAAAAAATTTAAGGGTGATCTTTCGTGATCTTCAAAAATAAATCCAGTCGTAAGCACAAAAAAATGTGAAATCTTATGATTAATGTGTTAAAAATATAATCAAAATCAAAGTTAAACTTTATTTTATTTTAAAAAGAATATTTACAATCTATACAATAAGGTGTAATGAGTTAGTGTGTTGAACATTATAGACATAAAATAATAACGTTAATAGGAAGGCTCCCAGCAGTACCGCCTGACCAGAAATTAAAAAACTTAAACTTAAATCCTTTTTTTTTAAGTATAGAACATCACTACACCGGGTATTAACTATTAACTATAACGAATGGAACATAAAGTTTGAATCATATAAGTGGTGGCATTTTTATGGCCAGCTATTTATTTGCACAGGGGACACCTATCTTCTACAATAGTTCTATGAATGTAAAATATACACTTAGGTACGCAACTCGCAGGGTCCGCAATACCAGATACTGGATTGCCTGCCTATTCCCTAATATTATACTGATTGCATAATCACTAAATCATGATCTATACCGTTCGGAATGGCTATAATATAATATAATCAAACGATTCAAACGTGTCTTTACTGGGTCACTGACTTATGAACATAGAGCTTAAACAATCATAGCTTGATGCTTGCAATTATCACGGTACCTTCGTACCACCGTGCAAGTGTGCACTGAGAAAGCATTTTCCAAAATTCTCATTCTAAAATGGTACTTGCTCAAGTATTTTGAGATTCAAGATGATCGATGAACATTTTTAAGTTTTGACACCATTGCACCGAATATTAAATAACAAATTGAACAAAGTTTGAATCATATAGAGTTGGCATTTTTAACGGCTAATGAAGCGCACGGGGTCAGCTAATATAATATATTTTAGATTCTGAGTGAAACGATGAATGTATTGATTTTACAATGATGTGTGTTTTTTTATTTTTTTATTTTTTTATTTTTTTATTTTTTTATTTTTTTATTTTTTATTTTTTTATTATCTGTGTACACGATAAGTAGTCGAAATAATGCTTCGATTTTCGACTTCAGTATCTTGTTCGATTGGAAAGTGAATATCGTTGGTGCATTGGGGAGGTCAAAATTTAAATTTCCCAGTAGTTTTCACACGCGCCGGGAAAAACAACATAAAAATTAAGGAAAAACGGGAATTTTTACGCAAAATTGATTTTCCAAAAAATCGATTTTGGTTATTGGTGTAACTTTAAAACAAATGAACGTATATACATGAAATTTTCACTGGTTGTTTATATTTGCATTTTCTATACACGATAACATTTTCAAAATATTTTGATTTATTTTGAACTGTTTAGGGACATTTTCATTTTTCGTTTTTTTTTAGTTTTTTTTCTAGAAATATCAATAAAATTTTATTTGTTGGTTGCGAAAGCTTGAAAATTTAATAGAAGGCTCCTAATATATTGTTTCAAAGGCAGATGAAAAATATTAAAAATCCTTAGTCACAATTTTTTTTTATAAGCATTTAAAGTTCAAAAATTGACAAAATATGGAAAAATCACGAAAATTAGCAAATTATTTTGAGTTAAGAATTCGTAAAAATTTTTCTTTTTAAATCTAAGATTTGAAAATCTAATACAAGATTACTCATAAGATTGTCTACCTTTATCAATAAAAAAATCTCTACCGGAAAGTCAAATTAAATTTTTATGAGCGTTTGAAATTCAAATTTTTACAACATTGGATATTCACTCGATTTCTCATGTGGCAATTTCCTTTTTTTGTTGTAATTAAAAAACGAATTACTGTAAATACATGAAAATTTCACTGAATGTTTATATTAGCATTTCCTATACACCATACAATTTTGAAAATATTTTGACTCTTTTTGAGCCGTTTACGGACATTTTCAGTTTTCAATTTTTTTAGTTTTTTTTTTCTATAAATATCAATTAAGTTTTATCTGTTGGGCCAAAAAGTGTAAAAATTTAATACAAGGCTCCTGATATATTGTTACAATATCAGTTGAAAAATATTAAAAATACATAGGCACAATTTTTTTTTATAAG